CTTTGGGCATTTTAGGTCAAAACATCTTTGTGCAAACTCAAACCCTAATTTGGGTCAACAATGCAAGGAGGGGTCTTGAGCAGAGCAAATCCTAACTTGATCTTTGAGCTCCAAGAGTCTTGTGGTGAGAAAAAGTTGATGAAAAGAGAGGGCAAATTTTGGGGTATAACACACACCCTTAGATATTATGTCGGTATTATATAAAGGGTATTAATTAGAAACGAGATCTATTCAACCCTTGGTCGACCTACTCGTCCTGGCCCATTAGCGTGAACCTACCTAGCCCTCTCTCGTGAATGAATTAGGTTGGGGCGGGTTCTGCTATACATGGCTTTTGATTCGACCCATATGCTTTAAGGAAAGATCAAAATGTATACAGTCGCTTAAGTATGAGATCCAACAGAAGTGAGATGCTTAATGAGAAAAGACCATAATTTACATCGTTTCTCAAGCATAAGGCTTTAAAATGACGAGATGTTTGATAGAGAGAGGCTGTAATTTGCATTATTTTTTACCTACGTGGATGGGTGTCTGTCTCTTTGCAATGGATATACAAAGTCGCGTCTGATTCTATAGGGAGTTTCTTCTTTATCTTCCCAATTTTATTAGGGGTTTAACTTTAATTATTACTTATTGCTTTGAGACTCACACAAAAGTCAGATCATCGTTAACTCTACATCCCTAGACTACTAGTCTTAAATGTGTTCACCTTCTTGTTGTCTGTCACTAATGCTTTTAAGTAAGTATTACCTCTTCCTATTTCAAGCTACTTCAACTTTCGCATGTATACAAAATTTATTTACACTCTCTATTCAACTTTCTTTCTTCTCTCTCATTCATCATTCACCAGTCTGTAAAATCAAGCTTCTCAAATAAGCTTTTGTTTTGATGAAGACAAACCATGATTGTCAAAGAAGACAAATATTTATGATCAAGCTCAAAACATCTAAGGACAATATCTTCAGTTCAAAGCTCTCAACAACTTTCAAGGTATAATAATATTACTTACTTTGATCTTAAGATATAGATGCTCAAAAATGAAAAAGAAATGTTTAAAAATCATTACTCAAGCTTTTCAAAGTTAAAATTTCACTTTTCACTTAAGTGCAATCGATTTGCATTTTAGTGCAATCGATTGCATGCTCCAATTTTTTAGATATTTTGCTTCTGTTTCTCTGTGCAATCGATTGCATACTTAAAATTTTCAAAACGTTTGCTTTTGTTTCTCAGTGCAATTGATTTACATTGCTTGTGAAATCGATTGCACTCACTTATTTTTTGCTACTGACTTTACATGCAATCGATTTACATTGCTAGTGCAACCGATTGCACACTTAAAACTTTTGAAAATATAGTTGTTGAAACCTTGTGCAATCGATTTACACAAAGGGTGTAATCGATTACATGCTGCACGATTTTGAAAAACAACAGCTTTTCACATGCCTGTTCATCATACCTTTTCATTGAAACCTTTCACTCAAACCTGGCATTTGTTCATGATATATTTTCAAAACTTCATGATGTTTCAAAAGGGTGTTATGAACATATAAATATTCATTTTCAAAATCTGTTTCAACACCTCTTCCACAAATATTTTCTGAATTTTCAAAATACAAACTCAAGCATTCCTTCACTTTCATGCATAAGTTTTCTGCATATTTTCATACATCTTTAAACATAAAACTTTGAGCAATTATATCTTGAGTCATTGTACAATAATATTATTGGAAGAGAAGATCATACATTGTTAAATCACTCTAAGTGATCAATACTACTCAACTCACTCAAACTCAAATATTGATAGTTACTTACTTATTTTTCCAGGATTGTTGGAAATAAGTTTAAGTGTTTTTGAAATCTTGTCTTTCCAAAATTGTTGGAATCAAGTGTAGTCACTTTGAGAGGATTGTTCTCATAGTTGACATAGTGAAAATCCAAGATGATTGTTCTTGGTCCAAGAGGATTGTTCTTTGTTATTTGGTAGTTCTTGTTTATGTTTGCCACAATAAGGAAATCTCTTTCATGTTGAAAGGGGACTGGAGTACTCTCGGACTGTGAGGGGAACCAGAATATATCGCCCGTGTCTCTTTATTTTTCTGCATTCTTAAGCCTTCCTAAACTCACTTTTAACCAGAAAAATAAAAACCATCATCACTGAAACCAGAATTTTTTAAAGTACCTAATTCACCCCCCCCCCCCCCCCTCTTAGGCGCACTTCGTACTTACAATTGGTATCAGAGCAGATTATAGGTAACCTGCTCCTAAAAGATCCAAAATGGTTTCCGCAAATCAAAATCCCGTTTTCAGAGATGGTGGTAGTAACAACAAGCCTCCTCTATTTTGTGGTGAATATTGTGACTTCTGGAAAATACGCATGAAGGCACATCTAGAAGCATAAGGAGAAGAAATATGGGATACCGTTGAAAATGATCTATTTATTCCTATAACGGTAATCAATGATGTTGGCTCATCAAAGCCTAAAACTGCATGGGATGATGATGATAAGAAGAAAGTTCTCTATGATAAAAAGGCAATAAACCTTTTTCAAGATGCACTTAGCATGGATGAATTCTTCCGTGTCTCGACATGCAAGACAACAAAAGAAATATGGGATACCTTGGTACAAACTCATGAATGAACGGTTGAAGTAAAAATATCAAGACTAAATACCCTAAGTCAAGAATACGAATTATTTCGAATGCAGCTCGGAGAAACCATTCTTGACTTACAAAAGAGATTTGTGCACTTGACAAATCATCTAAGTGATCTTGGTAAAACCTTGACGAATGATGAACTAAATCTGAAAGTACTTAGGTCCTTAACTAGGGAATGGCAACCAAAGGTAACAGCAATTTCAGAAAAGAAAAGTCTCTCCAACATGACATCCACAACATTGTTTGGAAAACTTCGAGAATATGAAATGGAACTCAGAAGACTTGAAAAGCATGAAAATCAAGAGAAGAAATCCAAGAATATTGCTTTGAAGATAGATTCCAAGGAAGTTGAAAAGGAAGACAATTCGGAAGAAGATGAAAACTTCATGCTTCTTGTTAAAAGGCTTGGTAAGTTCTTTGGTAGAAATGACAAACCTTTTTCTCATTCAAAAGGAAAGAAACAATTTAAGAAAAAGGAAGCTTCCACATCAACACAAGAAATCACATGTTATGAATGTGGTAAGCAAGGTCATATCAAGCCGGATTGTCCAAAACTCTCCAAGAAAGGTGGCTTCAAAAGAAAGAAGGGATTCAAGAACAAAAAGGCTTATGTCGCATGGGAGGACAATGAAATAAGTTCCTCATCCGATTCTGATAGTGATGAAAGTGCAAATCTAGCATTGATGGTCTCACACCATTCCGATGATGAAGACAATGAGGTTAGTAATGAATTTTCTCTTTTCGATAGTGATGCACAAGGTGCTATAGATGAACTATTGAATGAATGCAAAATTCTGTATAAAACCATTTCATCACAAAAGAAACAAATTTCATCCCTAGAAGAAAAATATGATTCTATGGAAAAAGATTTCAAAGAAGAAAAACAAAAATCAAGTGATGAACAAAAACAGAATTTTGTATGCAAAAATTGTGATTCACTCTCTTTCCAGAGGTCTTTTCTCCACATGACTTTATCCGATTTGTCAAAGCCATCATCTTAAAGAATAAATCATCAATGGTTTCATCATCTTTCATCTGCAACTTTTCATATTGTTTCCTCAAAGATTCTAGCTTCACTTTCTTTAATTTTTCATCTCCACCATATAGCTTCTTGAGAGTATCCCAAGCCTCCTTGGTAGTTTCTTGCTAAATAATCTTCTCAAAGTTGTTTGAATCCACACACTGGTGAATCAAGAACAAGTATTTCCCATCTTTTTTTCTCAATTCAAGACGGGCAACTCTTTGTGCCTCAGTAGCATTTGCCTCTGATGCCAAGAATCCATCATTCGCGATTTCAAGCACATCTTGAAACTTGAATATCACTTTCATATGTGCACACCATTTATCATAGTTTTCTCCCTTGAAAAATGGTGGATTGGATGGGAATTGATTGGAGGTTGTATTTCCATTCACCATGGTTGGAGGTTGAGGACCGAATTGATGTTTCTGATACTAATTTATTAGGTAACCTGTATCACAAGTTATTTGACAAATAATGATAAATTGAGAGAAAATTAGAGTGATTGAGAAAAAGGAGTTTATTAGAATGTGTATATTTCAAATACAATGAGAGGATGGCATTTATAGACACAATAGCCACCCAAATCAAATTTAAAACAAACTGTCTGAAAACAATATGATATACCCACCCAATTATATAATATACCCACTCTAATATATTCTTAATACAATTTGTCTAACTAAAACTGATATGTCTGCCCAATTATATGTTATACCCCCTGGATATATTCTTAAAGCAAACTAAATTAACCACAATAGTTATGAGAGTACTTGTTATGCAATAGTATATTTTATGACATCACTTGTATCAGTAAGAAATTTGAATATATAGTGAGTCATGCAGACTGAAGCATGAAGGACTACTTGTGCTATTAATCTTTAGTGCATGTTCTTTAGTAATCAACACTATCATTACTCCTTGAAACACAAGAATATAATTTTAACGAGACAACTTTTGGCACACGAGATTTTGATTGGAAACCAATGTTGTGGAGTTTGCTAACTAAGTGATTTTATTCTTATTATTTAGAAGCAATGTACTAAAATGATTGGTAAAAAAAAACAGAGAAAATGTGTCTAAAATGATTTTAAGAGGAAGAAAAATAAGAGTTTTTGGTGTCATAATTAAAAAAAGGGCATCATGCTAATACACATCTTCAACTAGATTACAAGCAATTCAAACATCATCAAGGTTGTTATCCAGGGAAGCAGTTAATAAGTTCGGATAGTTATCCATAAAATAATCTGTATTCATTTTAAAAACAGTGACAACAAAAGGCTAGGAAGGAATTTAAGGCATTATGAATAAACAGTGGATATGCAAGATCAGGAATCCAAAGAGAGATTTTCAAGTTCTCTGAATCCTTGAGTTGAGGCTTTTTTTAACTCTAGAGCTCTCTTGTAAGGAGGGGCAATAGGTGGTTGTACTGGATCCAAGCTCTGATATGTTCCTCCAACAACTTTAGGGAGTGGATATGACCTATCAGAGTCATATCCAGTGAGATCCCCGCAAGCTAGAAATGGGATATACACCTTATTAGCGCCTTCCAACCAACCACTAACACAATCTGCAACCACACCATCAAATTAATTACTCCAGATCAATGCCATGAAAATAAGTATACACGATACTAGGAAGAAGTTGAACAAAAAATTGGTATATCTCAAGTTATGATATTAATTCCTATTTTATGATTGCTCTTAAAGACTGGCATACCTGTATCCTCTACCCCTGATGGACTTCCAACTTTCTCAAGTAGCCGATGAAGATCTTTCGGATTGAATCCTTCAGGAGGGGAGTAGTTTTCACAAACTGCAAATGCCTCTGCAGGAGCGGAAAAAAAAAAAGAATTAGCACAGATAGTATTAACCTACTTTTCCACCCGTATTGCAAGGTGTTTTTGGAGGCACAAGCACAAGGGAAACAACTAAATTCAACAAGTGGTGTATTTGAATTTCATATACATTGTTAGATAATAGACAAGCTTCTGTCACATATAATGAGTAGCAAGACTGCCAATTCCTAAGCTATGGCAAATGCTCCAAAATGCCCTACTACAGTTCATAAAGAAGCTTAAGAGCTGAAAAAATATGCATGTAAAAAAATAGTAACGAATAAAGCTGGAAACAAGAATACTTACCTATGCTGGAATTACGGCTGCTTTTTGGTTTTGCGAAAGTCACAACAGGGAAAAATAATTTTAGCTGCAAACAAAAAGGCATCTTAGTATATGGAATTATGACTTTTGGATTCACAGACTGTGATACCCTTACACCTTTATCACTTACTATGAGTTATTTAGCATAATTTAGAGCAGTGAAACAGTTTCAGAAGTACAACGAAAAACTTAGATAGTCACAGGTAGGTTCTAAGTTCCAACTAGACAAAGACATGCTACAAGTGACATAAACAGTTCAGAAAAGTAATCTCCAAAGTCTATTACTTTGTTAGCAATCATTTGGCCCATTATTTCCCTTCAGAATTTTGGCAAAACTCAGGATCTTTCCGATGGTCTAAATTTCAAAGTCAGAAGTCTGTTTACAAAGATTTGGAATTTTTATTCTCTGGTTAACCATAAATTACAAAGATGAGCAACAACTGTCCCTTTCACTACAGATGTTACAAAAGCTAACTAAGGTGGACGACTGCAGGAGACTAAAGCTAAACATATTTATGTCATGTTAAACAATGTGGATTTCTCCAATGCCTAAAATCTTAATGGCAAAGGGAAGCTTCAAATACCTGACAGTATAGAAGGCTCGTGTCTTTTCCTCTAAATATCTTTGCAATAAACTTCCCTCCTTCCTTCAGTACATGAGTAACAATTGTCAACCCCTGCAAGAAGTAATTAATTAGCATCAATCTGCAATAAAAAAACCAACAAGATGGCCAAACAAAATCAAGTACTTACAGCAAGTATGAGTTGGGACTGAACAAACTCATCCATATCATGAAGCCCGGTAACTGCAAAAAAAAAAATGAAGCTATATTTTTAAACTAAAAACCGAATGAGGAAAAGACGTATCATACAGAGTTTTTCCATGGAATGTGTTAGAAATGTCAAGGAGCAACCAAAGAGAGATAAACTGATTCTCGTTGGTCCCGTGAAAGAGGTTGAAGTTAAGAGAAACAGTGTCACATCATTGTAGCTGTTTGGTAAACATTCTGTATCAAGATATTATGAGCTTAAATTATGCATTTTCTTTACCATCAGGAGCACCATCACACACAACCAGGTCAGCCTTGCAACCATCAAAATGTCTAATGACCTGAATAGAACAAGAGAAAAAAATGTTGTTTACAAACACTGGCACAATAGTTCATCAACGAAAGTTTAACTGATGGGATAAAGCAACCTCAAAAAAGTCCATTCTTTCTAGTTCCAACAAACCATAGACTCCAGAAGCAAAGGATCAATTAAGAACAACGAGAGAGAAATATACTTGTACATGTCAAATCTATATGCATGAATTGGGTTGATTTTATAATGCAAGGATTTAACTCTTCAAATGAGCACACCATGTCTTTACTCTTTTCACTATTTCAATCATTATTTCTCACAACATGAAGTCAAGAACTAAGCAAAAAGAATTGGAAAAAAATTAAAAGAAAAAGAAACAACGTATAGCAAAAGAAAGCAAAAAAAAAAAAACCTTTATGTTCGACAGAGGAGAAATAACAAAAACCTTTTTCCACAAGGTCAGGATGGAGACATAAATCAATGGTGTCATTATGTTCTCCCATAAATGTTTGAGGAGAAACAACTATATCAAATGAAACTTGTAATGCATACATATGTTCCAATAAATCTAAATTGCTAATAAACCTGGCTGCATGATATAACTTGAGTAACAGAGTTAAGATAAGAAAAAGAGCTGAGACGAGTTGTTTCAAAAAGAAGAAGAAAAAAAAGACATTTGTTAACAGAATTAAAAGTACCACAGATGTACATACCACTTCAGCAGTCCGAGCATTAGTTATATCACCCTGCACCTGGATAACACCTTCAATCGGAGCCATTGGCTGCAAATCAATAGCTACAATAAGAGGAAGATTTTCATCCCTGTATATCATGATGCAGCAAGGAGTTAACGCTGTTGATAGAATAATTAACATTGTTTGGAAGGAAAAGGACCACCCTTAACATAAAATACAGCACAGACAAAAAAGAAAAAAGAAATCAATGAATTCAAAACAAAACAATAAGAAAAAGAAATGTCGGAAAAAATGACAAACTAATTCAGAGATTGCACCTCACATAGCACATATCAGGGTAGCCTAATAAAATTCTTATTTTATAAGAACAGCACTAAAAGGTAATCAAAAGAACATAATTATGATCAACAGAAAAAGAGAGTATAGTTTGCTGGAGCTTAATTTCAATCCTAGGTCCTATAATGCATTTACAGGATGTGAGACCTCAATGTAAAGGAAATCCTTAACAGGGGCATAGAACTTCCAAAGAAAATCGGCTTACTTTGCATCAGGTGCAAGCTTAGCCGGAAGGTACAGTTTACGACTCAAAACCTGCATACAAAAACTTAAGTATTATTTAGATATCATGATGGCTACCAGGTGAGATTTATGAATGCTTGATCTTGTCTTTCCCCTCCTATTGTTTATACAGGGTAATAACTTGAAACTCGTGTTGTTATCCTAGCATTAATGACTCATACTTGAGTCTGATTCGGTTCTCATCCTTAATGGTGTTATTTATTTTAGCAATACAGCAAATAATTTTTGCCGGGTCTCATAATATAACCAGGCCTGTAAATAATTAAATACTATTTCTTATAAACATGCAGTTTTCAGTACGACTTGTTTTTCTGGGGCATTCTATCTCCTTCAATTTTGTTGGTATGGCCAACATTTTGTTGCTGTATTTTATATGAATGAAATCTTTGAGGGGGAGACTAAAATCTTGACCTAGTTAAATGTTTGTTGACATTAGCCACAAACAACATGAGACGTTGTGGAATTATGTTTTTTTAACAATGATAATGAACTCTACGTTTAAATTTAAACCCTTCTTTAAAGTGAATTATAAGTTGGGATAATTATGGAAATAATGTAGTAGGGGAAAAAATTCATTAGCTAAAATCACAGCACATGTGAAAAATACTATATGGACTTGTTCTTAAGATCGGCTTAGGAGGAATGGAGGTAATTCCATTCTGAAGTTAGAACATACAACAGATCTCGCAGTGAAAGCTCATAGATGACCTATCAATGAAGGATTACTAGAAGATATCTAAACCAAGACCTTCATGTCTGTTACATTTAATGCTACTAGGTGAGCTAACCCTAGTTAACACTATGTTTTCTTATTTTTGTGATTTTCAACACAAAGAGCCACAATTCGTGTTCGGTAAAAAACTCGAAGATGCTTTTGAATTCTGAGAAGCTAAATCACAGGAGAATGGTTATGTTAAATATGAAATAAGTTGTTAAATAATAAATGTTTATATGATTTAGAATGAATCATATGCCAGGTCAGTGATAATTTCATCATCAGTACCTGACTCCAGCTACCCGGTGCAGCACATAAATCTACAACACGTTTTACCCCTGCGGAAAAGATTGAAATTGAAACTGTAAAAAATATACTGGAACAAATGTCTGCAGAACCTTCCATTATTTCTGAGACACTAGCTACAATCACTATTTGTATATTCAGAACAGAGGGCAAAATAAAAAAAATAAAATAAATAAAAACAGTAATTTAAAACGGGATTCCAAGATTGAGGATGTGTACCTTCAAAAATGTTGAATTCTTCATCTATCTGAAGGAGTTTAAAGGCACTTCGAGCACGCCAACCTTCTTCTTTTGCTTTCCGGTAATATATATCCTGGAAACCAATTTAGCTAACATGAAGTGAACCCCAAAAAAACAAAACAAAAAGAGAAGAAAAAGAAAGAACAATGTGAGAGTTAAATCAACCACACCCTCTTGTCCCTTGAAGCTTTACCCATAACTTATCCCTCACTTGCTGTGCCTCAAATTCTATAAACAACAAAAAAAATACAACAAAATGAGAAAAACCATGTAAACAGAAAACAGTTTCTCTGTTTCAGTCATTTTCACAAACACCTAGTGTGCATTTCAGCACAAGCATACCTTTTCCCCTTAATCAAACTATCCAACAACATGCACTTTCTACTAAAACGCAAAAACGAAAGCAACAAAGAATTCAAGAGAGTAAAATCAAATTGAATGAAGAATCTAGCACAGTGTTCGAAGCTATTGTAGAAACTGCTAACTTAGCAATTAGAAGGCACATAGGTATATATAAACCGGTTCGATCCGTTTAAACAAACTTGACCCGGTCTTTTTATAACCCAAACCCAATTTGGGTTGGAGGGAACAAATGAAGCTTCAAAATCTGAATCAAATTGCGAAACTCGCTCAATTTCAATTAACCAGAAACCCTAATCCCAAATTGTTAAACCAAAACCTCGCACTCCTTGCAAACTCTCACGAACACGATGGCAAAGCTTTCTTCAATCTCTACAACCAAATGCTCTCTTTTTCTGATTCTTCATCTCACAACCACTACACCTTCACCCACGCGCTCAAAGCTTGTTCCTCTTTTCACGCGCTCTCCAAAGGTCTCGAAATCCACGCGTGTCTCATCAAATCCGGTCACATCTCCGACCGCTTCATTCACAACTCGCTCCTCCACTTCTACCTTTCCTCCAACGACGTCGTTTCAGCTTCGCGCGTTTTTCAGTCAATTCCTTTTCCCGACGTCGTTTCATGGACCTCGTTAATCTCAGGTCTATCAAAATGCGGATTTGAATCCAAAGCTATGGATGCGTTCTCTTCCATGAACGTGAAGCCCAATGTGTTAACTCTCGTAAGTGCTTTTTCCGCTTGTTCTACTCTCGGAGCTCTTAGATTTGGTAAAGCTATTCATGCTTACGGGATAAAGTTACTGATTGATGGGAACGTTGTTTTTTGTAACGCTGCGTTGGATTTGTATGCAAAGTGTGGGTCTTTGTTGAATGCGTATAACGTGTTTGTGAAAATGTCTAAAAGGGATGTTATTTCTTGGACTACTTTATTAATGGGTTATGCACGTGGAGGACACTTTGATGAGGCTGTTGAGGTTTTCAAACTAATGGTGGTTAGTAGAGAAGCTGAACCTAATGAGGCAACAGTCGTGACTGTGTTGTCGGCTTGTGCTTCTGTTGGTTCTTTGAGTTTGGGGTGTTGGGTGCATTCTTATATTGATAAAAGGATTGATCTTTGTATTGATGGAAATATTGGAAATGCATTGGTGAACATGTATGTTAAATGTGGTGATATGAAAATGGGGTTGAAGGTATTTAACATGGTTGTTCGTAAGGATGTTATTTCTTGGGGTACTGTTATTTGTGGATTGGGTATGAATGGATATGGCAAACAAGCTGTGCAGATGTTTTCGCATATGTTGGTTCATGGGGTTTTACCTGATGATGTAACTTTTATTGGGTTGTTGTCTGCGTGTAGCCATGTTGGTTTGGTTAGTGATGGAATGATGTTCTTTAAAGCTATGAGAGATAGTTATGGCATTGTGCCACAAATGAGGCATTATGGTTGCATGGTAGATATGTATGGACGTGCTGGTATGTTTGAGGAAGCTGTGGCTTTCATTAGAGGTATGCCTGTTGAAGCCGGGGGACCCATTTGGGGTTCTCTTCTTCAGGCTTGTAAAATTCATGGTAATGAAGAGATGTCTGAATGGATTAAAGGACAACTAGGTGACAAAAATGTTGGTGTTGGTACTCTTGCTTTATTATCCAATCTTTATGCAAGTTCTGAAAGGTGGGAGGATGCTAATAAGGTTCGGAAAACAATGAGAGGCCCTGGATTGAAGAAGGTGGCTGGATTTAGCTGGGTTGAACCTGAGGTTAGTTTGGATTCAAGTTTATGTGTTGCTTAGAGGAGTCCTTAGGGAAGATTGATGAAGTTGTGTAGCGCTACAGTGGTACCAAACAACAATAGAAATGAATGAGACCTGTGTAGATATTTCTCTATAGTGGGTTACGATGACAAAAGTATAAGCTATATTGTATATTCAACATATTGAATTAAACTCAATGGCAAGGATACTCAATAAGTTATCTTTTTTGTTCTGGACCCTATGTGATGTACTGTCAAATCACGAGAGAATTTGTCGAGTTAACAATTCTATTGCGCTATAAATTGTGGTTGTTTCATGGGCGCGTCATATTATGCATTGGTGAAAAGCCAGTCAGCTGAGAATTGACACCAGCTTTGATTTCGATGGGTGCTTTTCTACTTGGGTTGTGAGTCATTCTGGTAGTGTAGCGCTGCTGCTGTGCTCATGGTTGTGATTTGTGTTGATTTTGGTGGTTCTTTCCCCTGAATTGCAATGAAATTGTTGTTTTAGCCATTGTAAAAAATCCACTATAACTTGAAGAAATGCAAGAAATTGGAAAGATTGTTCTTGTGGCAACAAAGGTTGATCTATCTCATTCCATCCCAAGTTTCACCTACAAGGTTAGATAGAAGGGTTCCACAAGGTGCAAGTGGAGTGTGATAGTTTAAATTGATAGATTGTAAATAGTTTAGAGAGTATTTATTATATTTTTATATTTCACGAACCATATAAAAGATATAGTGGAAGTTTAGAAATCAAATTAAAGATTTACTGAGTTGTTAATTGGAAATCAAATTGAAGATTTATCATTTAAATTTAACTTAACTTCTTATTTTACCATTTTAACACTTCATTTTATAGCACTTTCATCATGATTCAATTAGTTTGATTGTTCCCAAGAGAGTCTATTCCTTGTCAATCGGCAAGTTCTCATATTGCACTTTGTCACCTCGCATTTGTAGTTGAGATTATATCTCCTTCACTTCCCAGATGAAATGAAGTTATTTGTATTAGTATAGGATTAAATTGACAACTAAGTGGCTAAATATAAACATTAATTAAAATAAAAAATGCAACAAACGTTGATTCAAGATGTCTCTTGCATCTATAAGTAACACATGTGCTATTTTCAGAGTGGAAGAAGCACATTTTAAGATTACTTTCTAAGTGAGCATTATATTTAGCCAACTAATGAGCACATTCATTTTCCAATTATTTTCCAAATGAGTATTATCTTTAATATATTAAAACAAAATATATATTTAGGCGCCAAGCCATTTGAATAAAATCTCGCATAAACAATTTTTAATTACATTATTTCTTTTTTCTTTTTAATAAATATTATTTAATATATTAATTAATATTTAATATTTATTATTTCAGTTCATTATTTAAATACTAATTTTTATATATTTTTCAATTAACAAAAATTCTAAATTTTTTTCTCATATACAATATATATTTATTTCTAAACTATTTTGTGCATCGCACGGGATGAAAATACCAATAAATATACAAATGATCACTATATACATTTTTGAGCATATACTAATGATCACTATATACATTTTGAGATTGTTATCATTTGTATAGAGTAATCAATATTTTTTGGATAGGTTTTGATTGGAAAATGAAACATCATGTGCGACATGTAGCAAGAAATTGATTCAAATTAGCTGTTGTGAAAAATCTTTCACAAGTTTCCTTCCTTTCTTCATTGTATTGCTAGTCTTTTTGAATACACAATCTATCATATAAGAAAATTAAACACATCTATTTACAAATCCTTTTGTCATGTGGATGGGTGAAGAAACTTGCTCAATTCTTTGGCCAAAAATTCTAACAATTTTCAGCCTTTTGTTTCCACCAGTTTACACAGTTTCAATCTCCATATCAGTTACAGTTTCAGGTCTTCCATATTCTAAATTACAAATAGTTTCTAGACCATTAATCTTTCAATCATCCAATTCATCATTCCTCTAATATTTATAACCTTCATATATGTTTCTCTATATTATCTTCTTCGCACAAAATACGTAAACATGACCAAATACTTAAACATGGCCAGACATGGAGAAGAAAATTAAATACTTAAACATGGCCAGAACTATAATTTTTGTAATCAGTGCAATTTTTGTAATAAAATGAGAATACATAAATTATACACTGATAAATATGATGATGGTATGAGGTTCATTGATGTTGTTTGTTTGTTATTGTTTTAGTTTTAATGAGTTTTTTTTTTCTTCTATTATTTTGGTTTAGATACGGAGGAACACCAACTGACATCTTAGTTTGATTTGATTTCTATTGTTTTGGTCTTATGTTGTTTAGAGAGAATGAGAATGAGAATAAGACCAAGATTAGAGAGAAAATGAGGATAATCAAAACAATTTGGTTTTCTACGTTACAAATGATTTCAAACTTTTATAAGTCTCGTCTTCCAACTTGAACGGTCAGAATTTATTAGAAAACTCAAATTCTTACTGTAATCTGTGGTTCCAAATCTTGAAATTTTTGGATAGAATATAAAAATATGGATCATCTCATCATTTCTTTTTTTTCCATAAAAAAATAAAAATTATATTATTTGATTTGAGTCTACCACCCATACATGGAATCTTTATCGTGGATATCAAAGAGAATTTTTGATTTGGTAATATAAAAAAAGCTCAACTTTTTTATATTACAAATGATTCCAAATTTTTATAAGTCTCGTCTTCTGAAATTACTGTGATTTTGTGTCTCGGTTTTTGTTTACCTATTTTTTTAATAGAATTTAAAGAGAAAAAAAGAATAAGAGTAAAATAAAAATAAATCAAATTTAATTCATTATATCTCATGAGTTTTGATTTTATTTTTTTCAAACGGCGTCAATTTTTGCTTGGATGGTGCTTGGGTGGCATCTAGGCCATCTAGCTTACAAGTAATAGCAAATTACCACTACACCACTTTACACTTGATATTTATTATTTCAAATCAGTTTTACTGATCATATAACATGAACTTAATCTCAATTGGGGTCTCATCCTCTCCCGTCTTTCCCCAAACAAGGTTCTCACTGCTATTGTGTCAGATGATCCTGTG